AACTCCAGAGGCTTTGAAGTTCATGAATAGTATTTCAGCCATCTACATCTTGGTCAGTGAAAGAAATTGGTATTTATTTTTAAAAATAACAGAAAGGAGGAGTTGAAGCTTCAATTTGCAAAAATAAAAGCAGAGCAACTATTAATTTACATAAACCACTATTTTCACAGTCTGCTAAATTGCAGCATTTGGATTATAGATTTTTTAAAACTGTGTACATTGTGATTTTTTTTTCACGTTCCTAAATTGCTGCTGCACCGTGCTTTAAAATCAAACAGAATATTCTTTGTCCTCTTTGTTCATGTTGCCATACTATCATAGTACACGCCTTCCATGAATCTAGATAAGGAAAATATATTTTGAAAACAAAGTAGATGATGGAATCCAAGCACCCCCTACCCCCAGCCTGTGAAGTCTTGTTCCTCAAAAATGCAGGCTCTGCTGATGCCAACTCAGAGGGCTTGTTTTATCATTACACATTCAAGTCAATGATGTCTTATCTTGATGGGTGCCAGTTCTGGAATGCATCTCTGAAGAGGAGAATTCAATCCTACTTTAAATGTCATCTTTAACTATAGATACTTAGTGTTGCACCTTTTCTGCTCCAACTAGTGATATTTCAGTGAAGGTAATCAGTATAATTTCATTAAGCCTTCGCCTGCAGGCTGCTTTGTGTCTAATGCAAGCCAGCTCAAAAGTTTAGGTGGCTAGTTTTAATAAGTACAATTATCCTTAAGCAAATTCAGCAATATAACACATTCTGGATTAAACCAAAATGGCAGTAATATTGATGAAATAAGGAAGTAAAGAAGTCTTTATGTTCTTAGTGACTGGCTTATTGGGTTAGTAATATTGTGAGAGCTGTCTTCAGAAACACCAAAATGGCACTACCCAAGTAATTTTGGAGATTGTATTGGAGCACTGTAATTGTTTTTAGTACTAAAATGTCAGGATTAGGGAGGAAGTGTTTCATGTTGTGGTTTCTAGTGTTTCTTTTGGGAAAGAAAAAAGGACAATGGGAAAATAATATAAGATCAAGAGAAGTTAGGACTTAACTGACTGCCATTTGAAATGAGAGGGGAGGAGAAAACACCTTGGTTCAATTTCTGTATTTCATAAGCTCTCAGCTCTTGTTTGTTCCTTTACTTTCATCACCAGACTGTAAATTATCTGCTGTCAAGGCACTGAATTCTGAAGAGTATTTTAGCAAAATGATAGATCAGGAAAGATGCAATGGTGGCACAAAAGCAAGGATAAGAACATTTCCTTTTATCCAATGAAAAGATACTGGTTTAAGATGTTCAAACTACTGACATAGCTACTTTTGGGAGTAACCAGAGATGCCTCATAAAATATTTTCTTAGTTTATCAATAGCCAGTTCAGGTGTGTGTGTTTATCTTAGCATGTGGACAAAGCTAGGATAAAGCCATGTTCAGACTTGTGCAGTAGGAACTTTTTTTGCTTGCTGTGCTTTTATTCGGATACAGATTCATCCAGGTCATTAAAGATCAATTTATCTATACAAATCTCAGAATAAGGTGAGAGAGCAGTAATGCAAATTAGAACCATCCATTTATAGCAGTGTAGAAATGCAAGTTATTTCTGATTAGTGGCAGTGTTTCATTTCTGCCCATCCACTCTCTGTGAGGGTTATTTCCTAACTAGAACAGACAAATTCAGCTGCTGGGTTGCCTCATATGAAAAGTGGTGCAACATGGAGGTGATACATTTGATGGCTTATGCTTGTAGGCAATATGTTTTTAATGTTCATAGGAAACCAATACATAAATAATGAGGCCAAAAGAGGACATGAAGGATGGTGCTTTCCATAACAAATTGATATTCAGAAGCACCACCCCAAGTTAAAGACCAGAGATCAAGCAGACTAAATGAATGTTGTAATTTTCTGTTAACTCATTCTGAAGCTGGAATAGGAACACATTGCAATGTGATGGAGTATTGAAAGTCCAAGGTGCATTAATAGCACATAAACTTCCAGATTGTGTATGAAGAAAAAGCTCAATTCTACTTTAACATTTTTTTTCTTATTTTCTGAGTAAGCTCTCCTCTGTTGAATTTTAGTACCAAAATATTTATAATTAATAGTCATGAAAGACTGCAGTTTTTACTCTCATTTCATGTACTCTGAGACAATTATCAAAGTCACAAACAATGTTCTTAGTTGTAAATATCATGAAATCAGTCAACTTTGCTCAAGTAGTTTTGAATGTAATCATTCCTCATAGTTATTTGTTGGGTCTGTCACACCAGTTCTTGGAAAAGGGGAAGAGCACTATAATGTCTGTTCAGCCAATGATGACTGTTCAGCACTGTACAAAATGTATTTTTCAGAATATTCACTCTTCCTATTCATACGAAATTTTTTGGACAGACCCGTGATCTTCCTTTCTTTTCTGTACACTTTGGAAAAAGACCAGCTTCTAGTTCCTTTGGTGCTGCTCTGGTGAATGGCTGAGAAGATGCAGCCCTGAGAGCATGGTGTTGATGTTTCACTTCTGGAAGAGAATAATACAGGATTGGGCCACTAGCTTGTTTGAAATTAGGGCTTGGTTTTGTTAAGAAATTTACTGCATCTTTCCTTTAGGAAAAGGTTCAATCCATAGAATTCTTAGGTAGGGCTTGAAGATTTTATTTAACTTATGTTTTACTCCTTTGCCTAAATGTGGAAGGCATCAGGATATTGATATTTCATGGCAATTTGTTCCTATTGTACTTACCTTAAATAAATCTCATTCCCTATCCAAGAGAAGAACTGTGATAACGTTTAGCATGTGAAGTCTCAGTATCGTAAGATTTTGTTTTGGTACTTTTTTCCCCTCCCATAGGTTCTGTTGTCTCTCACAGAGTTTGGTTTTGTTTTGCTTTAGGAACAAAAATTTTTGTTTCCATTGTAGCTCTACTTCTGACCATGCACAAGAGGTTGATTTGAGATAGGTGTGCTATAGTCCCTTGTAGCATACTTTATAATTTTGAACATTATAATTTATTATTCTATGGACTTTCATATTTTGTTTTCATCATTTATATATTAAATGCCAGATTTGCTCAGCTATGAAGTAAAGAGTGATGATGGGACCCCATTTCAGCATATTTAAAGTAGATCAGAGTTCCTTGACAGAGAGGAATTTGTATCAGACATTCTGCATAAACGTTTATTCCCTGAAAGCTCTCATTGTTTTTAGGGCAGTAATACACGTTTCAGGCTATTCTCATGTGCCTGTTCCTAAGATTGACTATCACTGTGAAAGTGAATAGGGACATTGTGTTATGTAAAGTAGTTGTAGAGATATTAATTATGTGGGTTTTTTTTTCTTTATGGTACATAGTTATATACCCTTTCCTCACCTAAAGGTGTGTGGAGTGAAGGAGAATGTAATACTGTGGTACAACTACTGAGTTTTGTATTGAATAGCTACAAGTTGAGGGACTGAATTATCAATTTATTCCATAAGCTGCATAACAAAACCAGTGCCAGCTCCTGATTGCATTAAAATCTGTATTTCAAGGGTTAACAATGTTATGCAAAAAATAGTTGAAACCAAATAATTTTATCTGTGCTTTGCCTGTGGGGATTTCTGTGTATGCTAATGAAAAAATATTAGAAGCATGCCAGGCTCATTTTCTTGTTTGGACCTACTCATCTACAGTATGTGCATCACTGACATTTTGAACTATGGGTCTCCTGAGGTTTAGTCTTGTAATCATATATGTATCCATACAAGTAGATACCCCGACATGATAAACACATACAGGCATAATTCAACACTGGAGGTTAATGGAAGGGATGTATACTATATTGGGATCAATTACTTTGTATTTTTGTGTGCCTAAAATATGTATTACTTTCAATCAAAAAAGAAATTTGCCTTGGAAAAATAATTAATTATCAGACAAATCAATTATAATGAAAAGATTTTATTTGTGTTCTGCAGATAAGCACTTGCTTCACAAACTTCTTAGAACAATATATTGAAAGTACTTATTTTCTGTCTTCAGTCACTAAAAGAACTTCAAACTCAGAAAAACACTTTTTTGCAAGATATTTTTTTCTTGCCTTAAAATTATATACTTTACCCATGGTGCATACCTTTAGTTAAGAGAGTGTGCTAGTGAGGTTCTGCTACTCCAGACAAAGAGGGTAAGTGATATATGAAGTCATCAGTACTTTATACATTAAAGGATTAAATTAGTCTCTTGTAAGATTGATTGTCACTCTATTGAAGTTATGCATGTTTACAAACTATCTTGAATTTGGCTCAAGATCTGCTGATGACTGTGAGAAGAGAATGCCTGGAAATAATGTTTATAAATTTTATATATTTTTTTAATGGGGTTTGTATTCCTTATGGTCTCTGCTTGTTCTTTAATAATCAACTCTTCTTTCTCCACTTCCCCTTTCTGTGTGTGTTCATATTAGCTGTACACAAGTCCATGTGGATTTAGGAGCAGAAGTCAGTTTCCACTTTGGTTAATGCATTATCAGAAAAATTAATGACATTCCAATAATTTGACCTTCAATTTGACATACATAGGACCTCTTTAGTTCACTTATGTCTAATTCCACAGTGCTTATCTTCACACTTCTATGATAGCTGCATAGTTTTAAATTGTTACCATGGTATTCTATTGTATACTCTAAACTTTGCAAATACAGGAAAGCTTATAACCAAAGTAACCATGTCTTCTAAATGGCAAAAATCAGTTTTTCAAAGAAAGACACTTTATTATACTGGATCAAGTTTATTGATTATGATGCATAAGCCATAAAAAACATGGCTTGAACTCTAGATGTCAAGTTTTCCAGGTTGAGGTGTTTTTTTTATGTTTTTGTTTGTTTGTTTGTTTGTTTGTTTGTTTTCCTTCTGAAACATCAGACTTGACAGGAATGAATTGAACAAAAATAATCTTGGAATTACAAAGTTCAGTGTTTTTACAGTCATTGTTTCTGAAAGAACTGTGCATTGTCTTTATGTTACAGGCCTGGAAAGTAGCATTTTCTGTAGATGCCAGCTTCTGTCTTGTGTGATGCCTCATTCTTCTGGTGATGCCACATGCAGCACTTAGTACTGGCAAATGAAAGAGGTCTCTTGCAATAAGGTAGGTTTCTTTCTTTTTCACAAGGCAGGGCTTGATGACGTTCTTCATAATTGCTTTTGTATTTAATATAAATGAAGTCAAATAGGTATTTTAAGTCTTCTAAATTTTGGGAAATGTCATTGATCCCACAGCTGTTGCTGCTGTTACTTGGTTTTACCTCTAAAATTCTCAGCATAAGTTACTTTCAAGGTATCACCGTTGCATTGCAGCAAAACCCAGCATTCATGATAGGCAACAGAAACGAGGAAATAAAAGGATGTATTTTAATTCTTATCATTAATGGTGAGGAAAAAATAATGTCTATAATATCAATGATTTCTATAATGGACAAAATTCATTGCTTGAGTTTTAAAGACTATTGAAATATCAGCAGAAGAATCAAGTGCATACAGTCTTTCTTCAACATGATGTTGCAAAAAAATGGGTTAGAGCAAATTGGAGCTAGGAAAGCAAAAAAAGAATATATATGAAAATCTTAGAACTGGAGAAACTGGGAAAAAGATTTTTGCTTGGAGAGGACCCTTTGATTAGCAAACCCTGAAAGAAGTGCTAGAGGGTAATTGTAGAAGTATGACAATGGAGAGGGGTAGCTGTGAAAATAGGGTATTGTCCTGGGTCCATGTTTCACTTCACCTTGACTTGTCATTGCTTTTGGTGGCTTCCTCTGTGTTGGTATCTACCAAACAGAGCTATTAATGCATCCAGGTGTTATACTGGGCTACAATGTTCTGTAAGCTTTTGTTAGTCTCACAGTTTTGTTCCAAATCATTCTTGGGATGTTGTGACTATTACTTGTGACTACAAGTATACTCTGTAGTCCCTGTGCACGTGTTGTCAGAAATAGCATATTTTAATTAGTGTTCTATAGCCAACATTATTTCCTAATAGGATAGTTTAATGAGAGTGATTTTGAGAAACACTTGCATATTATTTATGTACATCATCTTCGGTCAAAGTGCAGTGCAATGAATAGATACTGCCTAAAGACATTGGTTTCAGTTTACTATTTTTTCACTGGTAAGAGGCATATTGAGGTGAGAGTTTGTTACTTAAACATGGGACTGGTAAATATGACACAAAACCTGCAATAGACCCACAACCATCTGGAATGGCAGCTGAGCCCTTGGCAAGATACCATAGGGTATGCAAAATGCACTAGTTGCCTATGCTTAGCCGTCCTATCCTATATATTAGATTTCTGTTGCAGGGAACCGTACAACCTGACCTGATTCAGTTTGGATTGTGACAGATTGTAATCCCAGATTCAAAGGTGATGTTGTAAGTGGGGGTACCCTCGAGAACTGCAAAGAAAGAAGGGTTGAAATGAAGCAAGTAAGGCAACCACTAAGAAGATGTAAGACACTAGGGGGGCTTAATTTATTTATTTTCCATTGATTATTTTTCCTACTTCTGTTCTTCATGGGCTACCAACTCACCACTTTCAAGTGAGCGACATCTTTTCTGAATTGTTCTGTCATGCATTATTTCACAAAAAGAAATGTATTAATTGCTCAATGCTGTACTGTATCCCCTCATTGTGTACCAAGTGTAAGGGAAAATATTACAGTTGGTATCTGACATGCGGAACTAATTTGCCTCCGTTGGAGTTCAGGGAGAGGTCTTGGCTATTACAGTAGAAGAAAACATGAATTATAGGCACCTTGCCTCATGATGCTTCATTTGTAGTTACCATTTGTGATGATATTCTATGAATAAAATATGGGGATGATATCCTGTCCCCATTGAAATCAGTAGGAATTTTTCTCTTAACTTTAGCTAGGCCATGACCCTGGGAATCTCTGCTGGCTCCTGGTGAAGGATTTGTTCTATTCATGCCTCTAACTAGACCTCCTCTGAGGACTTAGTTTTCAATATTACTACCAAATCTGCTTCTTAGGTAATAATTCTCTCTTATTGAAGTTTATTTGGACTTGATTTGGGGGGATCCTATCTTCAAAGAAAAACAGGTTTCTATACCCGTATTTTTCTATCCTTAAATATGACAAGTATTGTTAGGGGTAATTATAAACTGACTCTCAGGAAATACTGTCTGATAAAAGGAGAGAAAGGACTTCAGAATAATTTCCCAAAGGATGGGGTGGCAGTCCTACAGGTAAGATACAATATAAAACTATTCTGCTTGTTGAAGGCTATAAAATGGACTGCAAGAAACAAGGCTTAACTCTGAGAGGAAAGACTAGATCACTTAATAGCTCTTTAATATTGCCAGTTTCTACAATCACAAACTCTTTCCGTGAGCGTGTTGTGGATTTTCCTTTACCAACTGTTTTTTTGATTTGAGTTTATTTTGGTCCATGGGTAAAAAGTTGTTCTTAAGTATTATTCTTGCTTTAGTAATAGAATCTTTCATACTCCTACAGTTGAAGCATGTATCACCCACAGGTTATTCATAAATTACAAAATCTTCTACTAAAGAACATCAGAATTCTTATTTTGTACATTTTTTTTTTTTTCCTATCGACTGATGTGCTGTTTAACTGCTCTTTGCTCTACTGTATTCCACTCGTATAGAGCAAGCGTACAAGTGTACTAAAATTGGTGTGTGATATATGGAGCTAAGTTTTGATTGTCAAAAACATGAATGCTACATCAAAGCTTTTTGTGATTCTGGGATGTTTTCTTAATGCGAGTGTTAATTGCTTTGGAAAAATGGACAGATGTTTACATGCTGACTGTGCTCTCATCTGATACTTTATTTGATTTCTCTGTTTCAGTATCTCAGGTTCATTAAGCTCATTCATCAGCTCCTACTGAAAGTTCCATTCTAGTGGTAGACTTTGTTTTAGGAAACTTACAATGTTTTTCATTAAAAATCCCTCCCAGTTTGGTCTGGGTTTTTAGAATTACAGCTGTAAAAAGTTTGGGCAGTGTATGTATACATATGCATATGTATGCAGATATGTCTATTGATGTTGGGGGTTTGAGGCTGAGTGGTAGAGGTATTTAAAAAAATCTTCTCTTCTAAAGATTCAGGCCAAAGTGTCCATAAGAATGGTCTTGTTATGCTTTGTTATAAAAAGTTATGCCAGAATGAAAGGCCATGAAAGTATTAAGCCATTTATTGCCTAGTCCTATGGTGCTAATTTACCATTTTATGCTCCCTGCATTTTGCTTCATTCCTTTAAAGCTATGTATAACCATACTTTCCAGCTTGAAATCCATTGCTTAGACATTACCCCATAAATAAGTATCCTTGCATTAGCACTTCCTCTTGTTTAAGATGGTTAGCATTGCAAAGAGGTTGGGGGGTAAGATTATTTTCAGCAGGGAGGAAACCTGTCTGTTTGCCATGGGTATTGCTGCATTTCATTCTGCATGCTCTTCCCAGTGTCATAGTTTTGTTACCTTCTCTATGGAGTTGTGGGAAGTCTTTATTGCAGTGATGTTGTATGCATGTGTATTGTATGACATAAACAAAAATACTTAATTTTGGTAGTTCCTGTTACTTTTTGATCAACTCACTGAATCGGTATTAAAGCTTTGCATTGTTAATTAATTTGCCAAAGCATACCACTTACTCAACTGGAATACACGAAAACAAGACCCTAGTGTTCTCATCACAGTTACCCTAGACTTTCAAAGTATTTGAAGTGCCCTGGAGATAGATAATCTTAAACTAATTTGTAAAGGAGCCAATATAAATAAATCTATTTTTATGCATGATTTCATAGTGATAAGAATGTTTGATGGAGGGAAAATGATTCAGTACAATTTGTAACTTGGAGAACATAATACATTTGACTCTTTTTTCTGTATAACACAAAGAGTTCATATGTTGCACAATGTTCATTTTTAATTAAACATTTTATCATCGCACAGCCTTTTATTGACATTCCTCATAATAGAGCTGATAAGATCTTGACCTACTCTTCAATAAAGCAATGTATAACTCAATATTCTGGCACACGCTGTTCCCTTCAGAATTAAACACATGCTTTTCTGATTTAATTTAAAAATCTTATGTACTTTTATTCAGTATTTATTTACTCTAACTTCTTTGATTTATGCCCTTGTTTGACTTATGCAATTTGGATGCAGCCATTTCTTGGACTATTACTCCTGTTTGCTTGAGCTTTTAGCTAGCTGGACCATTTTATTGAATTTTTCCTCCTTTCTTTTCCTTTTACAAATTTGCAATAAAAAGCGATTTATCACCTAATCTTGTTTCCTACTATACCTTTTGAGTCCAGTTCTGATTAGGTGCACTAACTTCACTCATTGCTGCCTTACTCATAGGTTTATAGAGTTTCTTCTATCACAGAAATTCCTTCAGATAATTCATTAGAAGAGATTCCCAAGGACGTCCCTAAAGAAGAATGGCAAAGTTGATCCCTGTCAGTAACCTTAAAAAGCTTTGTGATACAGAGCTTCCCAGGATCATGCATTTAGCTATTTTGATAAGCATCCCTGTAGCTTGGCACGATTTTCTCACCTCCAGAGGAACTGCAGCAAGGGAGCGGGAATTGATCCCTTCAATTGGTAGTGTCTGCTGTGGTGCTGGCTGACTCAGGAGACATCTGGAGACAAACCAGTAGTTGACTGTAGAGCAGCATCCAGAGGGGATAAGCCTAAATTTCTTTTCCAGAGTGTGCTGTCTCCTATGTTAGGTTTATGATGTCAGAAACCTAGGTGTAAACCATCATTCTCTAACATTTTGCTTGCAGCAAGTCACCCCTTATGAGTTGAGCACCCACCATTCTCACCTAATTAGGAGTTATGTGTAGAATAGATGTTATAGATGTATGACATCTTGCCTGCTTGTTGACCATCAGGTGTTGCAGGACCCACTTTCTCAGTAATCTCCTATTCTCTTGCAGTACCGGTTGTCTCAGATGATAACCACTCAACTACCCTATACTTCTCTTTCATACTTTGGAAAACCAGCTCTAACCATTTGCTGTTTGTTCTTATCCTTGTATCCAGATCTGTCACTGTTCACTGTAAATGTATATTGATTTTAGCTGATAATTTGAAAATAA